TTCCATATCTGTCCTGTCCAGTGATACCAGTAGCTCAGGTTCCCCTGTTCTGTCCTGTCCAGTTATTCCAGTGGTTCTGGCTTCTCCGTTCTGTTCTGTCCTGTCCTTTTATTCCAGTGACTCAGGCTTTCCTGCTCTGACCTGTGCAATTTCTCCAGTGACTTGGGCTTCCCTGCTCTGTCCTGTCCAGTTACCCCAGTAGCTCAGGCTTGCTTCCAGGCTGGAGCTGAGCTCCTTGGCTGACAGTGGGTGGTGGAGGGTACCTTCTTGAAAGCTTTAGGTCTCTAACTTCATCCCTGCTGGTGTGGTCCATCTCTTCCTGCTTACACAAACCTTTTCTCTGCACCTCTACTATCCAGATGCTTCAGTTCATCCCCATCTTTCCATCTTTCTCTGCCTCCATCACTCTTTCCAGCATCCTCAGTGACATCTCCACTTCCTATTCCCATCCCTCCCAAGCCCATTCTCCCCATAGCAGCCGGGAGACCATAGCAACCCTGTTTAGGGGTGGTCAATAAGCTTTGACAGACTGAAAAGGAAACTAGCTTTACCTCCAGGCTCGGCAACCTCACTAATATGACTCTGTCCACCTTTTGAGAACCATTGCCCTGTCTTCCTCTAGGCACAGCTGTCCTGTCTTTCTAGTCCTCCTACTTAGCTCTGCCATACCGCAGGACCTTTGCATGTCTATTATCTCTTTGCAGACACTCTTCGTTCTAAATATGCCTGTGCTGGCTCTAAAATTCATTTTAGTTTTTGTTCAGATGCAAATGGCTTTCTGTGAGGCTTGGTTTTCTTAGCCATCAAATGACCTGGTGATAGCATCCGGGAGGTTTCTCATGGATTTTACGATGCTGTTTAAAGGGGACTCTGACTGCTCCGTGAATGAGGGACCTGATCTGTCCATCCGCCTGCGGGGAGCACACCCCCACCCCACCTCACGTCTTGGAAGCACCTATGAGAAAATAAGACCATAACTTGACACCCCATTTCCTCCATCAGTTACGTTCTAACTATGCCAATTGCTTCTGATGTTAAACTCATTTTTTCTCAGCCTGTCTCAGTCGCTTAGGGAAATGGGCCATGAACTCCTCATTTGCCAAGTCCAGTTGGAGAAAAACATTCTCTTCATGGGTGCCTGCAGACTGGAGTCAGGGCCGGTGCTGCCGATATGAGAGATCCTGTAGAAGTGCAGGGCTCCAGCAAGCTCAGTTCCACAGCTCCCTGCTCCCAGCCTCGATTTTCTCATCTGTACAGTGGCTGTAATAACAGTACCTGCTTCATAGAGCAGGTGTGTGGGTGAAAGAGGAAAATGCAAAGAGCATGTCTAATATGACACTAGAAAGGGACTGTTCATATGAATTTTGTGTATGTGGGGATGCCCCCTGTTATCACAGTTGAGGTAGTCCATAGGGAGCTTTGCTGCTAACCCAAAAGCTGGTGGTTCAAATCCACCAGTGGCTCCATGGAAGGAAGATTAGAAATCTCCTGCCATGCAACTTACAGCCTCAGAGACCCGGTGGAGGGTCAGCTGTGAGTCAGCTCTGACTCAATAGCAATGCATTTGAATGTCTGCTCTGATTCTGGATGGAGCTCTTGGCCACTCTGGGCAAGACAGCTTCCGCCCATGTTGGAAAGAGATCAAAATGACCACAGGTGCAGTGTGGCCACCGGGCCCCGTTGTCCTCACATGGCCTCCACCTCAGCCCACTTGGTCTATGTTCCAGTGTCAAAGGGGACCACCAAACTTGTCAGGGGCTAGAGATTGTTGTGTCTGCATGATTCACAGGGCCTCTTGTTGGTCCTCTGGAAACAGTTCTGGCCCACAAGGACCCCATGAGTTAGAACTGAACCGCCACATAGACCTTCCCTGGCTGTGGTCTATTTAGGGAAGGACGTCACCAGGCCCTCCTTCTGCAGAGCCTCGGGTGGGTTCAAACCAAGCTTGCAGGTCGCATTTCGCACCCAAGCACTGTTTTCCTCCATACGGACCCCTTACTGGGACTCTACCATGCCTTTTTGTGCCTTTTCAGCAACCCCACACTGGAAATTATAAACATTCTTCTAGGGACTGTAGCTGAGAGTGTTGTTGTTGCTGTTGTTGTTAGCTGCCTCCAATGCACAGCTTCCCTGTGTGTGACACAACAGAGCGCTGCCTGCCCCTGAGCCGCCCTCACCACCCCACCCTCCCCGCTGTGCTCTCAGCCCATCCCTGCAGCCTCTGTGTCTGGTGATCTCCCTGCAGGGCTTCCTTTCTTTTGCTGTCCTTGTTGTGATGTGCTGTCAAATTGAAACCAACCCACCGCCAACCCGCTAATAGATTTTTAGAGGCAGTAAATCAAATGGGAGGAGATTGCCCACCCTGCTCCCACAGAGCAGCCAGTGGATTCGAACTACGTGCCTTGGAGATTGCAGCGCAGCTTCTTACCACTAGACCACCAAGGCCCTTCTTTTATTCCTCCACATTTTTTTAAATTATGATCTTTGGTTGTTCCTCTATTTTTCCAAGCATGAAGAACTGACCTCTGCTGAGAACTTGCTCAAAGGATGTAAGACAAAGGCTTTCTACCCTTACTTTGAAGGAGCCCTCTGGTTGTACTTCCTCCAAGACAGAGATGTTTGTTCTTTTTATATATATTTGTTCTGTTGACAATTCGTGCTATAGTCAATACTCTTTGCCAGCACTACAATTCAACCACATCAGTTCTTCTCCAGTCTTCTTCTCCCACGGAGCAGCTGGTAGCCTCGAACCGTGTGCCTTCGGGATTGCAGCACAGCCTTTTGCCACGAGGCCACCAGCTCCCCAACACTCCAATTCAATGACATCAGTTCATCTCCAGTCTTCTTTATTCATTGTCCAACTTTCACGTGCATGTGAAATCATTGAAAATATGATGGCATGTGCCAGGCACACCTTAGTCTTTAAAGTGACATCCTTGCTCTTTGCCCCTTTCAAAAAGTGCCTCCGATTTGCCCATGGCAATACATTGTTTGATGTCTTGACTACTGCTTCCGTGGCTGTCGGCATTTTAGAATGCAGTGTCCACTGTGTGTCTCTCTGTTGCAGACGCCTTTGTGACTTTGAATGAAGCGCTGCCCTCTCTGAGCAAAGAGAATTTCATTTGGCTAATTTCTAAAAGGCCTTTCTGCTCAGAGATTGTGGGGTTCAAGAAGTCAAGGGGAGAGATGGCAGTCTCAGGATAGAGTAGAAATTCTGCAGACATACAGTCTTCTTCAGTGGAAAATACCTGTCTCTTGGGATCAAGTATGCAATTGTACCTAGCTGGATGGTCCTGCTTTGCTGGGAGAGAAGGACTCCTGCGTGCAGGTGGGTGGAATGGCGAGATTTGGAAGTGCTTGGTGGCTTTTAGTTTTTTAGAATGGACTGACAAAAGAACAAACAAGTCTATGCTGGAGGAAGTGCAACCAGGGTGCTCCTTGGAGGCAAAGATAGTGAAACTCTGTTTCCCACAGTTTGGGCATGTTGTCAGGAGCGCCTAGTGCTTGGGGGAAAAAAGACATCATAGTGAGAAAGGGGAGGGTCAGAGAAAGAGAAGACCTTTCACAGGATGGATTGACACAGTACTGGGCTCGAGCATTTCAGAGATGAGGAGGGTGGTCCAGGGGTGCAGGAGAGGGCAGGGGTTCAGATCCGTTGTTCACAGGGCACCTCTGAGTTGTAGTCAACTCAGCGACAGCCAACAACCACAACAGTGGGAGCTTCGACTTCAGGGATGCTTATGTGCAAAAGTGGTAACCCAAGTGCCCATCAACAAACGAATGGAGAGAGAAGCTCTGGTGTAGTCACCCAATGGAATACCACGCTGCACTGAAAAACAAGGAACTCATGAAATAGTATACAAAATGAGTGACCCTGGAGGACATGATGCAGAGTGAAATATCTCAGTCACAAAAGGACAAATACTGCAAGGTGCCACTGTTGTAAAGTGGGACTGACATCGGGGTTGGGGGGAGACTTACGAAGAGGGGATAAGTAATGTATACTGCGTTGAAATAGATGAGGGAGAAAACTGTTTAAAAGGGATATATAATTAGGTATTATTGTCATGACAGGAGTCCAGAATGAAGGCTGCATAGTGGAGTGGACTGGGGGCGGGGAGGGGGAGTGTATAACAATTAAAAAAACTATTTTTATTTTTGTTTTACTTTTCAAAGAGAAAAGCGAATTGGAAGGGAGGGATGGGCAGGGAGAAAAGTGTGCGAGAAAGAATGAATGGAAATCCAAAGTCTCTGTAAATTTTCATTAAAATAATCAAACAAAAAAAGGAACATTAAACACACACACACACACACACACACAGACACACAGAGCGCGTGGTCCACAGACTGAAACCTAGTTACAAATTCTCCCAGGAAGCACCTCAAGGTGTCCCAGCAAGCTTCTCCCAACCCCAGCCCATGCCCCTGTCCCCATCATCCACTGAACCTCCCAGAGAGACTCTCCTGTCCTGTCCCTCCCTGTCTCTTCAACAGAAGCATAAGACCTACACCAAATGAGTGGTCACTGAGCTCCCATGCCCAGCAGAGTGGGCATCAGCAAGGATTTGCCAAGCAGAGCTTAGAAATAGCTCTTGGCACTGAAGCAGAGGGTTTATTTCCCAAGGTCATGCCCATTACATTTTGAGCAGACTCGTAAACCTAGCTGCCTCCATTGCAAAATTCTTTTCTTCCCAAGTGTGGGTTGGTGAATAATTGGGACGATGTAAACGGCGCCTCTAAGTATTTTGCTGGAACTGGGCCTGGCTGGTCTTGGCTCTGCTTGGAGTTAGGGCTGGGCTGGGCTTGGTCTGCACAGGGCTCAGGGCTGGGCTGGGTCTGAGCCAGGCTGGGTCGCACTGGGCTACCGATGGATGTAGGGCCGGAGCTTGGGCTTCCACTGAGCTGGGACTGGCCTGGCCCGGGGAGGAAGCACACTCAAATAAGGAACTTAAAGAACCCTTTCTTTTTCTCTTCTCTTCTCAACCTCCTGCCTGGCTCAGCTGGAGGAGAGTGAAGCCAAGTGTGAGGAGGCACTGAAGACCCAGAAGACACTGACCGCCGACCTAGAGAACATGCACAGCGAACTGGAGAGTGTGACTCGGAACAAGAGCCTGGTACCTGCCCCCACACCCCCTGCAACCATGGGCATCCGGGCCTCTCAGGCCTTGGGGAGCTGTTGTGAGTCTCCCGTGCACACAGCACTGAAAGGACTAGGGGTGCTCAGTACCACGGAGATGTGGGTGTTTATTATAGGCCTCCTGGGTGCTCCATATGGGAGACACAACCATCCACTGGATGCCACAGTGCTCTCAGTACTGTAAAGCATTTCCTTGGCATCTGCTACTCTCCTATCACCACCACAAGAGGAGACTGCGTCGTTGGTGTGGGCCCCCTGTCTGACCATTTCTTTAAGTAGAAACTTCAACATGTTATTACTGTTGTGAACCATCGAGTCAGAACCGACCCACAGTTGACCCTTCAGCAGGTTATCAGAGGCAGTTAATCACGTCGGAGGAGATTGCCTATCCTTCTTCCACAGAGCAGCTGGTGGCCTCGAACCACGTGCCTTTGGGATTGCAGCGCAGCTTCTTGCCATTAGGCCACAAGAGCTCCCTTGAGCTTGTTCTTGTTCTTGTTCTTGTTGTTGTTATGGGCTGTCGAGTCATTTGTGACTCATAGCAGCCCTATGTACAACAGCCCTAAATCCTGCTCTGTCCCTCACTAATCTTATTGTCTCTGACACACCTTTCCCCATTACCCCAGTCACTGAACTGATCCATCAAATTGAGGGTCTTCCTCTCCTATGCTGTCCCTCCACCCTTCCAAGCATGACGTCCCTCTCCAAGGACTGGTCCCTCCTTGCAACATGTCCAAAGTATGTCAGACAAAGTGACAATGAGTTTTCGGTTTTACTCAGAAAAGGAGAGAGAGAAGCTAACATGTACTCTAGATCTATTACACTAAAAGAAATCCCCAAACCCTCAAGCCCACTGCTGTTGAGTTGGGACCTTACTTAAAACTGGCATAGGTTTTCAGAGGCTGTAAATTGCACCAGAGCAGAGAGCCCGTCTTTCTCCCACAGAGGAACTGTGGGGCATGCAAACCATTGGCCATTGGGGTGGCATCATAATTCTTTACCCAGCAGGCCACCAGAGCTCACCTGGGTCTATTATAGTGATGAATATTGTATAAGGAATTCTAATTCCCCTGTCGGGGCATAGAGTTGACTTAAATTTGGACTTGGCATGTTAAAAATCTTGAAGTATCAATATTACCAGAGATTTGTAGGAGGAAGTTTCCTGGTGATTTCCACTGGCCCTGGTAGTCCCAGGTTTTGTTTGCACTAAATAAAGAGGAATCTGGGGTGTGTGTTTGTGTGTGTGTGTCCCTTGCTCCCTCTTTCTTCTCTCTTCTCTCTCTCTCACTGTCTCCTCCCTTCCCCCTCCCTCCCCTCTCCCTTTCCTCTTTCCCTCCCTTCCTCTTCCTCCTTCCCTCTATATCTCTCCCCCTCCCTCCCTCTCTTTTCCTTTCTCCCTCCCTCCTTCTTTCTTCCTTTCCCCCTCCCTCTCTCTTCCTCCCTCTCCCCTCTTTGCCTCTTCCTCCCTCCCTCTTGCTCCTTCCCTCTCTTCTTTTTCTCTCTCTCCCTCCTCCCTCACCATCCCTTCCTTCCTCACAATCCCCCTCTCCCTTTCTCCCTCTTTCTCTCCCCCCCTTTCTTTCATATATACACATGCACACGGAAGCATATACACACTCAAATACAAAGCCACTAGACACAATTAATATGTTCATAAATAAAGCACATGTCCAAAGTCATCCAGCCCCTCAAAGCCACCCTCATGGTGATGGTGCTTGGAGCCGGGAGGATACCTGTGAACAGCGCAGAGGGGCTTGTCTCCTGGAGATCACAGGGGCTTGCCCTCACACACATGTGATGTGCACATTTGCGCATCCATGTCCAGAGACTCCCCGGTGGGCTCTGTCCATTCATATGCATGCGCACTGCTGTGTCCACGCAGTCACACGCACACGCATGCCCAGTACGGGCGCACACGCCACCCTGGTACGTGAATGTGCATGCCCCCAGTTATGATGCACAATCTCACGCATACCTGCAGCGCCCCTCGGCACACCCGTGGCCACCCTGAAACCCAGGTGGTTGCTTACCTGACATACCCATGGGCAAGCCCTCTTTGACTTCATTCAACGTCCACTGCCCCTTCACGGTGGCATCGCACTCAACTCATGCCCCTTGTCCTGCCTCCCGACAGTTGGACGAGCAGCTGTACCGGCTGCAGTTCGAGAGGGACAGCCTCCTGAAGCGCATCGATGAGGACCAGGATGACCTGAACGAGCTCATGCAGAAGCACAAGGACCTCATTGCCCGGGTAACGGCCTGATGGGAAGGGGACCTCGCGCCGGAAGGGTGGGGTGCGGACAAGGTGAGGTGGTTGTGTCACAGAGATTGCTAGGAATTGTGAAGGTTTGTTTGATCTTAAGAGAAGAGAGTGGCACCTCCAGACAGCGTGATCCCTGAAAGACAATCCCTCCAAGAAACACTTTGACATAGTCATGCTTCCAGTCTTCTCTTTGCTGTATCTGCCCATCCTCAGAGCCACCCGTTAGCATCCATGTTCTCTTCACTCACCCGCCAGTCCTGTGCCGCCTTCTCTCTGTCGATTATGGTTTGCATTTGTTTGTCGATCCCCCTGCCGACACAGCCACCCATCATCCATCTGCCATCCTCTTACACATCAATCCTCTCTTCAAGCCATGCATGCATTCTTCTGTCTGTCTAGCCTTGTGCATCTGTCCTTACGTCTGCTCATCCACTCCTCCTTCCATCTGTGCATCTATCTGTCCATTATCGTGCCCATTTGTACACACACCCACGCGCCAACACACCCGTCCACCCTCCCTCTGCTCATCTGCTCATCTATCAGCCTTTCTTTCCTCTGCTGATACAATGTTCTGTCTGCCATCACTCTACCTGTTTGTGCTCTGTCCACCCACCAGCGCACCACACACCCACCTGCTCGGCCATCAGTTCACCCTTCCAGACATCTGTGCACTCTTCTATTCGTCCATCATTCT